TGCTCTAACTCTATGTGATCTAAGTAAGGCTTTTGACAGTGTAAATCATGAGCTCCTACTAGGTAAATTGGAATATTACGGGATACACGGCAGAGCTTTAGAGCTAATGAAAACCTACTTGTGTGGGAGAAAACGAGTTGTTTATACATCTGGAAATTCTGGCACATGTAGATCCATTTTGCACAATGTACCACAAGGGTCCATACTGGGACCAATTCTTTTCGTGGTATATATTAATGATATTTTTAAATTTCTTACTTCCAAGCTTATTTTTTTGCTATGCAGATGATGTATTAACGGTAGAAGCAGACTCAAATATTAACGACTTAATGGACCTATGTTCACCCAACTTACATTTATACAATAAAATACCAACAGACATTACCGGTCTCAGTTATAACCGTTTCAAGGCTAGAGTTAAGCACTCGCTATTAAGGCACTGTTTCTACTCCATCGACGAATATTTGAATTGCGAGACATTAATATTTTAATATGTTAAATGTGTTTTTATTGTTTAATTATTGTTATTCTTGTTTGTCAGTTTGACTTGTCACTATTGTACATTTTCTAGTTAATGTGATGAAATAAACTTATTATTATTATGAATATCGTCCATAGTTCTTTGGAGGATATTGCAAGCTACCCTTCCGAAATGACAAGGTCATCTGCATAAGCTTGTAGATCTACTTCTCTTCTGTCGAGGGCATCAAGCAGACTATCCATCAGGAGCAACCATAAAAACATTTTTAGAAAGCTCATTATAAGTGTCAACTGCAATTAAATGATATAGATATAGAAATAAAATACTTTGTTTAATTTTCACTTACTTAATGTATTCATATTAATACGACCAAGGTTTCGATTTTTACACCATTCTCAAGTATTCTAACACTACTGACCTAAGAGAAATATCGCAGTATATGTATCCTAGAGTAGGTAATAAGATATATACCTACATTCATTAATACCAACTACATAAACTTCAAACTGTGATTAATTGCGTTTTCATCTTTATAAATTCATAAGTGGAGACCTACACAAATCTGTTTGTTCGTTAAGGGTTCTATATTTTGAGTTTTTAATTGATTTATTAATTTCCATGGCTTCCAACAAATTCATTTTCCTTCCTTTACTACATGTATGTAAGATTTTGATTAGAATGAAGAAGATTAGAATGTAGTGAAATGTTCTGCACTATATACAGGCCAGACCGGTAGAAATTTCGAAGTAAGACTTCATGAACACGTCGGTTTAGACATAAAATCTTCCATGTATGAACATCTACAAGAAACAAACCACAACATAAGTAAGGAAAACCTCAAAATCTTACATACATGTAGTAAAGGAAGGAAAATGAATTTGTTGGAAGCCATGGAAATCAATTAAAAACTCAAAATATAGAACCCTTAACGAACAAACAGATTTGTGTAGGTCTCCACTTTTAAATACGAGGTATGTTGAAAAAATAGGGTTAATTCTCATTTTTCTCAAAAAATATTTATTCATCAATTTCCATTATGTCCCCTCAGATATAGTACACTTGTTCATTTTTTCCAAACCTTGAGCAGTTCTGATACGCACTTTCTGGTATGTCCTTGAGCTCTCTCAGTGATTTGATATTTACTTCCTCAGTCGTCGCAAAATGCCGTCCTTTCATGGGTCTGTTCAATCTTGGAAACAGAAAAAAGATGTAAGGGCCCAAATCCGGTGAATACGGTGGCTCAAGCATGATTACAGTTTCTTTTTGCTCGCTTTATCAAGTGGTATTCAACTCACTTGATAAAGCTACTGTGCTAGTGAAACATGTTGTTATATATTTTTCAAATAAAGTTTGTGGAGATCAAATCGTGAAGTGTAGTTTTTGAAATTTCTGTCAATTGTTTCAAATGCTTGCTTGAAGTCATGAAAGACAGCTACAGTATATTTATTCTCATCGTACGCATTTTTCCATCTAGAGAAAGTATATTGAATAGCTGATTCACAGGAATGATTTTTTCCAAATCCTGACTTGACCTAAGAATAATTGCATATAAGAACTGCTTCAAGGATTGGAAGAAACGCTGGCACTACTTTGAAGGGGACAACATAGAAATTGATGAATAAATAAATATTATTTGAGAAAAATGAAAATTTATCTGATTTTTTGTACAGACAACGTATATTGATGTGGCAAGGTTTTTAACTTGTGAAAAACCTCATTAAATCACCATTATATTCAGTTTATATTTCTTCTTTTGATTAACCTACACTCTTTTATATTGATGCTCTTAATTAACCTACACTCTTTACTTTAATTATTTTTTAGTAGATGATTTTATCTTTGTAACTACGAACAAGGATTTCTGAATTCCTGACTTGGCATAAATTGACTTCAGTATGTAAAATGGTCTAAAGTATATACCCTACTACAGGGGTCTCCAAACTACGGCCCGCGGGCCAAATCCGGCCCGCCAGTGTCATCAATCCGGCCCGCGACAGCCAATGATTTACATCAATCTGTCCCGCGACAGCCAATGATTACCTAATTGTTGTTACTATTGCTGTGATAAGTTGAAGAAGAAAACACAGAATGATAATTACTCGGTTTTATTTACTTACAAGGTAAAACTTAACGACAGAAATGATGACAAAGAAAACTTAACTTAAGTATCTAAGTTTAAGCATATTAATAACTAACAAATAATTGAAATGAATCACAGTAAAA